GGCGGTGTAGAAAATTAAAAACAGGAACATGTCTGCATTGGTTTTTGTCAGGAATTTAGCAGATGTTTGAAGCCACTTAGAGAGGTCAAGGTTGAGAACTTCAGATCTTTTGGCAAAATATTCCAGGAAACAGGAGCGGAGTAGGAGAAGGCCCTTTTGCCTAGTTCAGTCCGCACTGAGGGAACACTGCAGGTAATAATGTCCTGAGAGCGCACGCTGTAGCTGCACTCACAAAGTGACATGTAGCAGGAGATGTATGAAGGCAGCAGACCAAGAAGTGATTTAAAGATGAAAATGTACCGGAGGGAAAGTCTGTGTGAAGTTAATGATGTCCAGTTAACCAGTGAAAACCTAATTTAATATTTGACACAAATTGACCTTTGGAGAAATTGAGAAGAAATCTGTTGTGGTAGTAGAAGAGAGTACTGGCGTCAAAAGCATTTGTAATGCGAGGGGTCTGGTGTTCCTCCCCCAGAAAATTTTGAATAAAGCCATGAATAATGCCATTTCCTGCATTCTGGTGTATTTTAACGTGTTGTTAAACATCATTACCTACATATGTAAACACATGATTCAACAACTGTTTTAGAGGGCACGGCACAACAAGACGCTGCCTGACCAACAGCTCTCCTTAAGTGAATAGAGTATGCTCTGCATTGCTCACGATTCTTCTAACCCTCCACCCCCACCACTCAGGTCAACAATTGCTGGCACTAACGTAGCGCTAAGCTAGCGACGCACAAACGTACTAGCTAAAATTCTACAGACATAGCGCTCCGCTTCTCTCATGCATCCTAACCCCACCACCCACCCACCCAGGTCAACAACTGCTGGCTCTAATGTAGTGCTAAGCTAGCGCACAACACAAAAGTGCCCCCCCTCAAAAAAAAAAAACCTGAAGAGATAAGTGCCCTGATAAGCCAAGCGACCTCAGAGAAACACCGCATGCTGTGTGAAGAGTTGTAGGTAACCAGGAAAACCCGGAGTGGACTTTAAGTGGTTTGTGCATTCTGGATTTATTCACGAAGAAATAGAAACAGCGCTGGGTGGTTTCATGGTAAATGTGGGGGGTCCAAATGAATATGTTTAAAATGTGAAGGGGACACGTTCCCTTCACATATAATTGATGCGACGCCTGTGGCTGAGAGTCATTCGATACTGAAATACTATAAAAGATCACGCATAATGTTTCTTTCCAAGTTTGTCCAAAATGGCTTTAACTCCATTTTTTTCTCTCAAAATGGGACAATTTTAGACTAAAACTCTGGGTCTTTAATTGTCATCAGTTTAGCTGACTGAAAATAATCAGATTCTTTAAATAAAGTTTATGCAAAGTTTGCAGACTTTCCATTTGGAACAAATATGTTTTTGTTTTGTTTTTTACTTTTGAATTCCTTAGTATGATAGTTTTAGATGAGATAGTAAATTGTAAATGTCACCACTTAAACATATTATTATGACAATGTTGCCCAGTTACAGATTCATTAAACTCTAAAGCATACTGTTGTGAGAAAACTGAGACCGCCATGTATGAAATCACTTTTTGGAAACATTTTCGTTTGAATTGAGTCTGATAGATGATGATGTAATGCCTTTGGGCAGATTATTGCACAAAGAAACTAGTCTCTGCATGTTTGTGTTCAAATCTGTCTTAAATATATTTACTTTAGCCGAGCGTAAACCCCGAACAAGTGATAGATGATTTGGCGAAGGAGCTTATGGTTCCTTTTCCTGTGAGGAATCAGCATTTATCGGTTTATCATTGCTGAATTTATCACATCCAGTCCCTGAATGGACCATTCATAAACCAGATGTGACAACGTTACACTGCACACTTCAAACACAAACATACCATAATGTCTTTTTATTCATGGCTTGTTAAACATGAACTACTTTGAGCTAGTCCAACCACATCAAACCAGCTTTCATCATATGAAAATTAGGCAAAAGTTGAAGCCAGAGGAAACATTAAAGTTGCTAAGTCCTGCAGCAAACTGATTATAGCGAGTGTTTTTAGGATTAAAAAAAAAAGCAGACGTACATCAGCTGGAAATGACAGTCACGAGTTTTTGGGTAATTGGTTGCAACTGGACTAGAGGACAACAATCTAAAAGGGTTCTGGTTCTCATTAAAAGCATGGTTTGTGGGTGCGTTTAGCGTTTAATTATGTGTTTTTTTTCCCACTGAGAACCTAAAAACAACACAGCCGGTGAGCATCAAGTGTTGCTACTCTGTCAAACATAGCCAACTAGCTGTTTTTTTGTTGATGTTTTTGGTCAACTAAGAAATTATTAACAGTAAAAGAGACCTAACTGTGATTATTAGAAGAATTACAAAGCAGCTTGTTAGCCGTTTGTGCAACCCACTAGTGTTTTGTTCCTTTAAATTTATATTGGTGCACTGCAAAGATTTACGCACCTCTAATCTAATTGGGAACTGCCTAGAGAGCTCCACCTGACAAGGGTCTTGCTCTTCCTTCAACTTTAATGCAACCCCGAACCGCAATGTGTACCCTCACAAATCTTAAATCAAAACAATGGGCTCGGCACCGTGATGCGTGTTATTTCTGTTATTGGTGTTTTGAGTTACCATGATGATGTAATTTGCAAACAAAGGCGCCGTTTTTCTCATTGAAACAAACTATACATCAGCCATTTTTAGAGATATTAAGCTAAAATTTGGTGTAGTGGTAGCTGAGAGCAATGCCCCTTAAATACTGAATTCAAATAAAAATTTCAAAATGGTCGTCAAAGCTAAATTTAAATGGCTTTAACTCAGCTATTTTTACACATAAACAGCTGAAATCTGGTGTGGTGATAGCTGAGAACAATCCCCAATCACATACTCAGGGCTTAATTTGAGTTGGATCCTGCAGGAACAAGATCTGAAAACTCGCTTATTTTGGCAGGGTGCGTTCCGGTAACTGTTTGCTTGGATCCTGTAACTCTCAGTTTTACTAATAATAAAGTTATGAACAAATATGACTGCCTTGAATGAATAAAACTTATATTGAATACGTAAACTGAAAATAATTACATAAACACTCATTTTAAACACAACAGTCAATTACAAGCATACGAGCTAACAAAACCTCTGCACCTAAAAGAGTAGAGGGGGTGAGTGCCGAGCTAACCAGGCAGTTGTATGCGGGAAGAAGCCCACAGGACCCTGGAGGTTTCACATGTGGAGTCTGACAACAATAAGCAGGGACAATGTCAGGCTTGGAACCATCAAGTGGGGTGGGGGGGTGGGGGGGTGGAATGCTTGACAGAAGCGGAGTGTTTACAAATGTAGGTAAACGTAGATGTATAACAACTCGTTAAAATACACCAAAATACTGAAAATTGCATCTACTTTATTCCAATTTTTCTAGGGGAGGACACCCAGACCCCCAACCCCCAGCCCACCTACTATTTGTGTTCTGTGTTCCAGCATTGATCAGTTTACAAATTAAGCCCTGCACATATTGAATCCAAATCAAAACTCCAAGAGGGCCACCATAGCTTAAAAAAAAAAAGGATGTCATTGATTTTTTTGACACATTGAGCTGAAATTTGGCATGGAGCTGAGAGCGAACCCCACCACATAATACTGTCAAATCAAAATTTTTAAATGGTTGCAATGTGGCAGTCCCCGTCAAAGCTTCTTCAGGAACTTTCTAGTGTTTAGTAGTACCGCATTTTCCAGCGTATAAGTCGCTCCTGAGTATAAGTTGCATCAGTCAAAAAAGCATCATGAAGAGGAAAACAGTATATATATATATATATATATATATATATATATATGTATATATATATATATATATATGTATATATATATGTATGTATATATATATATATATATATATATATATATATATATATAAAAGTCACTTTGACATATAAGTTACATTTATTATGTGTCACTGCTGACCCATTGCATCTATTATGCATTTATTTAATGATCAGAACATCTTCATTTCACCTGGGCGGTGCTGTGCCATCCATCCATCCATCCCAGCCGCGAGCTCTCCAGCGTTCGTCCGCCTGCACCAGTTCAGTGAAGCGAGGACGCACGGAAGGACTCGCTGTTGCAGTTCTTTGAAATTTAAAGCCAGTCAAAAATTGTGTTATGAATATGAAAAAAAAAAAAACGTATATAAGTCGCTTCGGCGTACAAGTCGCAGGACTGACAAATCAATGAAAAAAAAAAGTGACTTATACACCAGAAAATACGGTAACTACTTTAAATTTCGGTAATACTTTCTTTGCTAGAAAGTGTAAACTTGTACTTTAGACTTTTTGTTACGAAAAGAAACAAGGAAAAAATATTTTTCCTAGTTTTCAAAAGAGATATTTTTACCCATAGACCATGCAAAGAGCAGAGATTTATGAGTGTTTGTTTGCCTGCAATATATTAACATTTTAACGCTTCATTTTGTGTCATAAACAGGTGGAGGAACATGCGGTCCCGCAGCAACAGTTTGGAGGATGTAGCCAAGGCCAAGCTGGCTCAGCAGCACCACGTTGACTCACACAAGCGATCTACAGAGAGAGAGGAACCTTCTGGAAGAGCAGAACGCCGCAGTCGTCATCAGGAGACACTGGACGACACAGACACCGTTCAGCGAAACCACAAGATAACGAAGAACTGCACTGGCACTGGTGGAAAAACCGGCAGCAATGCTGCAAAGGGCGGTCGCAGGGAAAAGAGCAGGGACCTTTCCCGAGATGACCTTGTCTTCCTGCTGAGCCTTCTGGAAGGAGAGCTGCAGGTAATCGAAACTGTAAACGTAACAAGCCAAATTGGATCACGACCATTAAAACAGTCAGCAGAGCCCTGCAGATATGGCGCTGACCCCAGTCGGACATGCTGGCTTAAAGGGAAGTGGGCGCTAAACGCCAGTGTTAATAGACAGCTTCCTGTCATTCCAGCGCCAGATCCAGGAATTCATTGGCTTCGTTTGCTAGATGTAAAATCAACACAAAGAGATGAAATGAGCTGAAATGAGCTAGGGACATAAAAACACACCTGGCAAAGTCAAACCAGCCAAAAAGGAAAGAAAGAGTGCCGTCTAAAAACTGTTAATCCTAACAGAAGACAGGCAAAGGCCTTGCTTCACCTTCTTTGTACATGGCAATTTTAGAAAACAAAATGTAATACAGTCTTAAATTTGAAATAGTTCAAAAGTTTTAAACCACCACCAGTTCACATCCATGGGGCCCGAACCTTTGTAATCTCCTAAAGTGGTCTTGTGGTAGTTGTTCCAAGATTTCTGAAGGTTTTCAGTGCTTGATTGGGGGCTTTTCCCACTCCTTTTCTATTTGGGTCTTTGGTTCTGACCATGATAGAATATTGTAAATGTGGATCAAAAGGAAAGTGTTTCTCCTCAGTCGGAAAAGGGTGGATTGCTCTTTTTGGGTCGAGGATGAGGTTCTGCCTCAAGTGGAGGAGTTCAAGTATCTCAGGGTTTTGTTCACTAGTGATGGAAGAATGGAGCGTGAGATTGACAGATGGATTGGTGCAGCATCTTCAGTATTGCGGACTCTGTGCCGGTCCACTGTGGTGAAGAGGGTACTGAGCTGTAAAGCAAAGCTCTCTGTTTGTCTACGTTCCTACCCTCAACTTTGGCCACAAACTCTGGGTAGTGACCGAAAGAATAAGATTACAGAAACAGGAGGTTGAAATGAGTTTCCTCTGCAGGGTAGCTGGACTCTCCCTTAGAGACAGGGTGAGAAGTTCAGTTATCCAGGAGAGACTCGTAGTAGAACCATTGCTCTTCCACATCGAGAGGAGCCAGTTGAAGTGGTTCTAAGATCTGGTAAAGATGATCCCTGGGCGCCTCGCTAGGGAGGTGCTTCGGGCATGTCCAACTGGGAGGAGACCCCAGGGAAGACTCAGGACACGTGGAAGAGACTACGTCTCTTGGTTGGCCTGGGAATGCCTTAGGGTTCTCCCAGAAGAGCTGGAAGAGGTGGCTGTGAAAAGAGATGTCTGGGCCTCCCTATTCAAACTGCTGCCCCTGCGACCACACTTTGGCACAAGCAGAAGATAATGGATGGATGGAAGGGTGGATCAAAAGGATGTGAAAACAGATTATAATCCAGCAAAAACCAGACACAGGACCTGAGAGCTGCATCCTCCTTCTGTTGATCACTGGCTGAACGAGTTTTCAGCTAACAGTTTTTTTGGGAATCATCTTCTTGGAAATTCCTTTATTTTAGTTTTATTATGGCTGAATTACTCAGAGTTTAGTGTTTGATGGCCTAAAACAATCCTGTGAAAAAAGATCAGATGGAAATGAGAGAAAAAGGCAGCCAAAGTCTAAGGAAGACCCTCTGAAACTCTGAAAAACACTCAATCGTGACCAATATAAAAGGTTTCAAGATGGTTTTGCTCTTTAGATCTGAACTGGATGAGTGTTAGTATCCAATATGTTTTGGTCTAGTCATTGCCAAATCAACAGATGAGTTTCATAACCTTCTCCTTTATCCCATAAACTAAACGCTAGCTTTTAACCTCAAGTCTTGCTTCATCCATCACAGGCCAGAGATGAGGTGATCACAGTCCTGAAAGCAGAGAAGATTGACTTGGCCCTGCTGGAAGCCAAATATGGTTTTGTCACACCACAAAAAGTCCTGCAGGCTCTGCAGAGAGACGCCATTCAGGACAAGTCTGATATCTTCCAGGAAGACATCTACGAGAAACCTATGGTAGAGGTAATGATTTTTCTCAATCCACAATACCCCTAGTGACTGTCAAAATGTGTAACGCTCTGCAGTCCAGACGAGACAGATGTTTCTATGTCCTCCCGACATAGCTGGATAAACTAGTGGAGAAACAGAAGGAGACCCATCGGCGGATGCTGGAGCAGCTGCTGATGGTGGAGCAGGCGCATAAACAGGCTCTGTTCAAGTTGGAGGACGAGAAGAGAAACCACGGGGAGTTCATGAAGAAGAGTGACGAGTTCACCAACCTGCTGGAGCAGGAGCGCGAGCGGTCAGTACAAACCCATGCTCAAGCTGTTAGCAAGAGCAACCACCACATGCTAACTGTCATTGTGCTACACTGGAGGTGATGTTCCCACGGCACTTATAAAATAGCCAATGACTGATGACTTTTAACACAATCCAACAAATGAAAAACATCCGTGTTGATTTGTGCTGTATGCAACTCCAAGCATGAGTTTAGCCTCAAAGTTTAGCATTCAAAGAAAGCCACAATTATAGCAGCACATTTCTTATTTAAGTAGAGTCTGTCATCTTTCCCTGCAGTACGAGTGTCTTTATGAGCAACCATCATCATGGTGTTTCTCAGCATTTCTATAATTCAGATTGACATAGTAGTTGTTAAAGTTAGCTTTTACCATGGTTTTCTGTTCGAGGTTCGAGTTAGAAACTCGTCAATGATGTTTAGGAAATACAGCCTCATATAAAGTTGGTTTACACACCAAAAAAAGTGGATAAAGTAATCCCCAAACTGCAGTCAGTCAAACTCTTAATAACTTTGTGCAATGTTTAGGATGGGGAAATTCCTCCTTATGACATACACTGCTTGGCCAAAAAAAAAAAGTTCCCACTTGGATTTAACTAAGCAAATAGGTACAAGCCTCCTACTGGATAATTACTGCATGAGCGATTATCTTTCAGCTGGAAACAAGTTATTTAATCCCAACTGGTGCAATGAGTTGCTTCTCATTTCTTAAACAACCATGTGGAAAGACACATCGCGTGGTCGTGGAAAAGATGTCAGTCTGTTTGAGAAAGGTCAAATTATTGGCATCAAGCAGAGAAAACATCTAAGGAGATTGCAGAAACTACTAAAATTGGGTTAAGAACTGTCCAACGCATTATTAAAAACTGGAAGGATAGTGGGGACCCACTGTCTTCGAGGAAGAAATGTGGCCGGAAAAAAATTCTGAATGATCATGATCGGTGATCACTTAAACGTTTGGTGAAATCAAACTGAAGAAAAACAACAGTAGCACTCAGGGCTATGTATAAAAGTGAAAGTAAGAGCATTTCCACACACACAATGTGGAGGGAACTCAATGGATTGGGACTGAACAGCTGTGTAGCCTTAAGAAAACCACTAATCAGTGAGTCTAACTGGAAAAAAAAAGCTTCAATTTGCTAGGGAGCATAAAGATTGGACTCTGGAGCAATGGAAGGTGGTCATGTGGTCTGATGAGTCCAGATTTACCCTGTTCCAGAGTGATGGGCGCATCAGGGTAAGAAGAGAGGCAGGTGACGTGATGCACCCATCATGCCTAGTGTCTAGACATCACTGCAAGATCTTGGTGAAAAATGAATGCAACGCTGGATGAAAATAGATCTTGTGATATTGCAGAAGTTTATCGAAACAACGCCACAGAGAATGCATGCCGTAATCAAAGCTTAAGGTGCTCCAAAAAAATATTAGTGTGATCTTTTTATTTGGTGGCGACTTTTGGGGGGG